TCTGTCCTCTAGGGGCGCTGTGGGTCAGAATGGACTCCATAGCAATGGGTGTGGTTTGGGGGAAACAGCTTACACGTTTCCTTACACACATCCAAAATCGGTCTCAGCCACATAAGATCCTGTGTGTATTTCTCCAGAAAGGATGCTGAAGACAGCAGGACGTGTACAAGAAAAATGTGCATTAGAACGATCACTACCAGGTCTGAGTGCCTACAAACTCACACGAGCACCCGACAGGCTGTGCGATGAGTGTGAGTGCTGTGGGAACGGTCCAGCGAGACCGAGAACCCAGCCTGCTGCAGGGCGAGCCAGTGACGGGGAACACCTCGCTGCTGTCCACAACTCAGATGGTGCTATAAAAGTCAGCGACGAGGCGAACACGCCCTCCACAGCCAAGATGATGTCTGAGAAAGTAATGTCCAAGAGGCATGACGGGCTGACCAGCTCGGAGCCGGCTCTTCTGCTCTCAAGATGAGCTTCTGAGCAAATAACCGGAATGTCGTTTTTGAAATATAAGCAAATCTGACTAAATAAATGGATTCATTTCCCTTAAAATTCCAAAACATCAGAATATAAATACATAGAAAATGAAAAATGTCATATATAAGAGGTTTGTAGATTAACTTCTTAATAAAATGCACACATGCACCCAACCAGATAACACCCAGCTCCTGGCACATTCCAAGTGCCGCCCGGAGACACCTCTCCCTCCCTTGTGTGCGCTGCGAGCTGGCGCGCTGACACCTGACACGGAAGCACTGAGAGCTGGCTGGTGCGCAACGTGCGATACCGCACCAGGGACCTGTCCTTCTTGTGAAAATAAACCACGTGCGTCAATGGCGGTAAGTGGACCTTTGTATGCAGACTCCCAGGCTTTGAAAGGCCAAACAAGGACCGTTTGCCTGTGTGGAGAGCCAGGTGAGGAACAGCACTGCCCAGGGGACATGACTCAGAAGGGAAATGTTCACAAACGGATCCACGTCCAAGCCAACTGGTCACGCAGCTCGGCACGCTCCCAGGCCGCTGGGCTCAGTCGGCCATTCTAACCGTCGGGGGCGGTCACTGCCTGAGGGGGAGGGGAGCCCGGGAAGTGGACAGAGACCCTCGTCGCGCAGCGACAGCCGCACCTGAGGGATTCTGCATCCGCCCTGATTCACGGCTGCAAGTCAGAAGCCATGGCCCGGGCCAGCAGTACCACCGCCTGGCCCAGGCGCAAGCAGAAACACAGCCTGACTCCTCAGAGCCGGCCTCAGGCTTCCTTCCTAGTTGACAACGGTGGCATTCTCCTATGAATAAATGCACTACAGGAGAGAGGAGACAACGTCCCACAAAGAAAAGTGAACAGTGCTGTAGATGTGTCCTCGCCACTGAGCTCCAGGGCCCTGTCCAGCTCAGCTGCCCCCCGCGAGCCAGCAGCCCGCGCACCCGCGGCCCCTCGGCCCCGACAGGTCACCGCTGCCTGGGCCTCTCAGGCGCCCTGGCTTCGGCTCTGTCACGAGTCAGGACCGAGCCGATGGCAATGGCCTTGGCTGGTGAGGAAGACACAGCCTGTGTGCACGTCACAGGGCGCCCCACCCCACACACGTGTTCAGAAAAGCGAAGGCCGGCTCCACTCACCTTTAACCGTCTCACCATCTCCTCTTTGGATATTTTATCTGAGATTTCCTTGACGCCGGGAGGATACGTAATCTTTCCATCATTCGTCCTTGACTTTGAGTGAGCCATGATGGAAGTATTTTTACCCCTAAAACAAGACAGATATTAGATGCAAACCAGAAAATACACATATCCTACGGTCACGAGAAACACAGAAAGCAAGCCGTGCCCTTCCAGATCATTTATCCATCTACTTTACAGAAATTTACTAGCTAACGGATGAAAGTCACTGGATTAAGCATTTCCCGATCTTTTTTTAAAACAATAATAACTTATTTTTATTTTCATTTCCACTCATACTAACCATCCAACTAAAAGAATGCCAGACCAAAAAAATTAAAAATACTGCTTATCTTTGAAGGCACCCAAATTAGGGCAAAATTGGAAAGAAAGCAGGAGCCCGGAGAAGCGGAGTGCTGGCCACTACCCCACCTGCACCCCAAGTGCACTTGCCAAGCCCGACAGACCAAGGACGCCTCTGGGTGAGGTCCCGCAGGGAAGGGGGCAAAAGTACATCTGAACTTGTCAAGGGGGCAAGTGAATTCAGAGACCCTCCCTACGTTAATGAGGAAATTATGTTCTCTCCTCCCCAGCCCCCAGAAAAGACACCTGCAAAGGAAAGGGTTACCATGTCACCATGTGCCGTCCCTGGTCCACGGGGACAGCAGAGAAGGCCGCCCTGGCACTAAGCAGAGCGACTGGGGGCTACGTCCAGGGAAACAAGGAGGAAGACAGGGCTCACTGGCCTTGGCCCCGGGGCCGCGTATGTGCTGAGGTTCACACGACCCACGTGGTCCAGAGAACCCCAAGCCATGACCTGTTGTTGTTGTTGTTGTTGTTGTTGTTTGCCATTGAGTCAGCCCCGACTCATAGCGACCCCTCCTTGGGTTTCCGAGGCAGTATCACTACGGAAGTAGGATTGCCCAACCTTCCTTCCGAGGAGTGGCTGGTGGGTTTGAACCGTCAGCCTTCTGGTTAGCAGTCAAGTGCTTTAGCCACTATGCTACCAGAAAGCCATGACCTAGTGATCCCCAACTGGCAGCTGACCCGTGAGCACCGACCATGAGTAAATCCACGCCCCACCCAGAAGAGGGCACCTTCATCCGAGGCGCCAGAGAACCCCCACGGACGAGGCTTCAACCACGGGGAGGGCACCAGTCTCAAAGGACTGGGCACCGGCAAGAGCCAGCAAGGCCACCAGACACCAGAGCACACACGGGCACTCGGACGCCGTGACCACCAGGCGCACAGTCACTGCACTCACTTCAAGGAAGCATTCAGACGCTGTGACTACAAGCCGGGCGCACTCACTTCAAGGAAATAACAGTCAAGTCTGAAAATACTGTAGGAAACTAGATTGAAACAGAAAAAAGTGGAACTTCTAAACATGAAACACTGCAGTGAATGAAATTAACAACTCCTTGACTGCGCTTGTTAACACATCCAAAAAGGGTGAGAGAAAATCAGTGAGCCAGAAGTCAGAAACAGTCACCCAGAGAACAGCACAAACCAAGAAGAAGTAAGGACCAGATGCTGACGTCTCGACTCCAACTCCTAATACATGGGGTCGCCACGTGTCCCCAGACGTAACACCTGACAACCCCGAAGAAAGGTAGGAAGGTCTGGCGGGCCCCCGTGAGCCACGGGGCGGGAGGAAGGAACGAGGCAGAGGCCACAGCTGAGGGGCCCACCACAGGGCAGCAAGCCACAAACTCGGGAACCCGAGTTCACGCATGTCAGTGATCCTGGGACACAAACACCGCGCCTGTCACCTTGGAAGGAACAGCGGTAAACCACCAGCTGACTCTCAACACCAACCACGTAAGCCGAAAGTCAGCAAACGTCAACTTCATGTGGGGAAAGAATGCTAGCCAGAAGTTTCCGTCAAGGAACTTAATTTCCAATGACAGACAGAAGTAAGGACATTTCAGCCAAGCAAACACTGAGAGAGGTAGTGCCTGCATACAGAGGCACCCAGATTCTCGCCTGGCACCCCTGAGTTCTATGTCACGTGTTCATGAGACATGACGAGGTCAAGAGATAGGGTCCCCAAGGCTGCAGAAGTCGCCGTGAAAGCACAGACACGAAACGGTGAAAATGGAAGCAGCCAGCGCCACCCAAAAGGAGCCCTTCGAGGCATCAACAGCAGAAAGCCACGTGGGCGCAGGCCCCACGCCTCGGGTCAGCAGAAACAACACGGCCACGAGTTTGCCGAAAGGCTCCCGAGGACGTTCCCAGCAGGAACTGTCACCGCGGCCCAGACAAACCCCGATGCCATAAACAATGCACCGGGCCAGCGGTCTCAGTGCAGTGGCCGCAGTGCTCATCTGCCAACCCAGCGGTCCAAGGTTCGAACCCAGCAGCTGCTCCGAACCCACGCGCTGCCTCACGGGAAAAGCTACAGCAGCCCCAGACGCTGTGGGGCAGGTCGGCTCCACCGTTAGCAGGGTCGCCCAGAGGCCGGAACAGCTCGACAGCAGGGCTTTGCTTGATGGGTTTATGAGAAGCCATCGACTCCGGTCTCACGTGTAACGCAACAAAGTGAGGGAACGATGCCAGACGCAAAATGCTGGCTGGAGCGTGAGTGTATTTAGGTAAGTGCCCAAGGAAAGGGAACCCCCGCCTGTGAATGAAGGCAGGGCAGGTCACAGCTCTGCAGAGAGGTGGTCGCTGAAGGGGGCAGGGGAGCTCCGGGGGGCAGGCGGAGTTCTGCTCCTGGCTGGGTGTGTGACCACATGCCAACTGCTCCTTGGAGGGAGGCATTTCACACTGTGCACTGAACGCGGCGGGCCCACAAGGATTGGCAGCCTGGGTCCTGTGAACACGACCTCGTCAGGAAACGGTCTCTTAGGATGTCACCAGGTCACGTGAGGGCGCGCTGGCGTAGGCTGGGGCCTGATCCAAGTGGTGCTCCCGTACAGGAGAATGGGGTATTTCTAGCCAATAGATACATTCACACACACACACACACACACACACACACTTACTTGATATACACATACACACACTTACACAGACGTGTGTGTATCGTGTGTGTATCCAAGTAGTCCCCGATTTATAACATACTCAAGTTCCAACAAACTTCACTTACAATCTGGTGTTTGCGGTTTTTTGAACATCTTACCATTAGTCACATGCATTACATACAATGTTGCAACACGTGGTTTGCAGATGCTATCATATCTATAAGTTTGTATTCAATGTTTCCAACCCCAGAGACATGTAGGATTGGATTTTTTAAAGATACTGTAATAACAAGGCAGTAATAATGAAAACTAATAATAAAGTATTCAACTTATGTCAAACTGCCAATGAAGCTGTCAAAATAGAACCCCACCATAAGCTGGGGGCCACCTGTGCGTGTGTATTCATAACAAAGAGAGAAAGATACAAGCTAGACCCATGTAACTGTGCACTTGTCTGAGCGGATTTTGATATTGCAATAACCGTTGCTACTGCCTTATTTGTGCCACACTGTACTGTCACACACATACTGTAACACTGTACAGACAGCTCTGGTGGCCCAGTGCCTAAAGCATCTGACTGCTAACCAGAAGGCTGGTGGTTCAAACCCACCAGGCACTCCATGGAAGGCAAACAAGGCAATCTACCTCCATAAAGATCTACAGCCTCCGAAACCCAATGGGGGTCGCTGTTGAGTCAGAATTGACCCGATGGCAGGGAGTCTGTTTTTGTATACTGTATTAGTTACACAAAACGTCACCCCTGGGGGAGGAAGGCGAAGGAGTCATAAGATGCTATGTATTCTATTTGCAGCTTCTAAACATAGTGCCTAAGGCATTTGACTGCTAACCAGAAGGCTGGAGGGTCAAACCCACCAGCCACTCCTCGGAAGGAAGATTGGGCAATTTACTTCCGTAGTGATACTGCCTCAAAAAGCCAAGGAGGGGTCGCTATGAGTCAGGTCTGACTCGACAGCACATAACAACAACATAACTAATTCAAAATAAAAAGCTTTACAAAATAAATTACATTCATATAAACTAGTATTTCAAACTATTTTAATACACAGCATTTGCCCTGGGAGACAGGTCAGGGGGCAGGAATGCCCAGAAAAGGACACAGGGAAGAGGTAAAGCACAGGGAGGAAGTGGGAAAACAGTCACTACTCTGTGGGGAACTGCAGTCAACGTCACGAGACAAAACGTGTATGAACTCCTGTATGGGAAATGTATGGTGTCAACTTTCACCCAAATCACAGTAAAATATTTTTAAAATATATTTTAATACAATTTACATGGAAAATTATAGACTTCCTAGGAATTCATGTAAGGAGCTCTGGTAGTACAGTGCCTAAGGATCTGACTGCTAACCAGAAGGTTGGCAGTTCAAACCCACCAGCCACTCCGTGGAAGGACGACTGGTCAACCTACTTCCGTAAAAATTTACCACCTCAGAAATCCAAAGGGGGCCACTAAGAGTCAGCATTGACTCAATGGCAGTGAGTTTGGGTTTCTTTTGTTTGTCTGTTTGTTTGCCTTGAGGAATTAATATAACAAAATCTGCAATTATACAGAAAAAAATTATAAAGTCTTATTGAGAGACATTAAAGAAAACGTCGATAAATCAAGAGACAGCATGTCCAAGGACTGGCAGTCCCATATACCCTAAAAGCAGAACATCTCTCCTAATTCAGAAGTGTGCCCACGGAGCTCCGGACTTCGGTTTCCAGTGAGGAAAATGCCGCACTGACTGAGGGTAGGGTTCCAGCAGCCATTAATGCAATGATGCCAACAGGCTGCACACCGTAAAAAGGTGAGCTGACATACACTGCGGGAGATACACTCACAACAGAACCCAGAGCTGTCAGGGCTGCTTGTGTACAAACCCCCCGCAGGACCTGCCGGTGGTTTGGGGCATACGGGACGCTGCTGGGACCTGGGGCCTCCAGTCTGCGAGCTGCAAGCCGGGGCTCCCGCCACTGGTCTCCATTCCCCTGGGGCAGCAGAGGCCGAAGGGGTCGGGCAGAGGACGTGGAACAGGAGGCTAACTGCTTCCACGACCACCCGCCTTCTTTGCCACGAGACCGGAAGAACTGGACGGCACTC